AGCAACGCGAGGGAACAGCTAAATTCCACCCAAGAGGGCAAATACCAATTTTACTTCAAAAAAACACCCAAAAAAAAGCCTATTGTAGAACTGTTTACATAGCAATGAACACGTGTGCATGAAGCCCACTCGAACACTGACGGCTTCAGACATTTTTCTGGTTGTATTTCCTACACATCCCAGTGTTTGTCGTTTATCTTACCCTGCTGCCCGTTGCTGAGTGGCAGGAAACTCTTTCTCCTCATACCCGTTTTTTGGGAACCCTACAAAGACCCATCAGGACTGAGATGGAAAGACACCAGGAGTCCTCCAAGGCAGACCCAGAGGAAGCGACACCTCTTGGTGCTTGTCTGTAGCTGGAGGAATATGAACCAAAACTCACAGCACAAGAGGGCATCAGCCAACATACCCAGGGAAAACCCAGGGCACACCCAGGAGAAGGCAATGTCAGACCAGAAAATTCCTGGTCACACAGTGCCTGTGAGAAACATGGGTGGGTTATGGGCACAGAGCCCCAGCAGAATGATTGCCAATGGAACGTGGGAGCTGGGGTTTCCTGGGCTTTTTTGAGTTGGGAAGTTGCAATTTTGGGCCATAGCAGCACTGTCAGTTTTCATTCATTTATAAGGGAATTATTAATTGCCTGCACACAGGCTGGTTTGGGGCTGCATCTCTGTTCTAGGAGGTTCAGTTTTGCAGGGGAAGGATCTCAGCTGAGTGGACCTGTGTATCGTCCAGAAACAAATGCATCAGTGTTCATTAGGAGCCAGCAGCAGCCTAATTGCATGGGACTCACTGTAGGGTTCAGGTGTTGGACTCAGGGCAGTCACACTGCTCTAACACAAGGCATCTCAAAGTCATCTTGTTCTAAAACCCATGAGGGAATTTCATTGAAATAAACTCCACCTGGGACCCTCCTGCATCACTTCCTTATAAAAAAAAACATGTGTTTGTTTGTTTGTTTGTTTGTTTTCCTTTTAAAAACAAGCCTCTCCTTTTAACATTATGGTTCTGGAATTCCAGCCTTTTCACACGTCCCGTGTTACTGAGCCAATCTATTCCTCGGGGTACAGACCTGCATTTCCATCCTTATTTTTTTCAGTGTTAAGACAAGCCTGTCTAGAATCCAGCACCTGTCCCCTGACTGGGACTTCAAAGCAATCAGTACATTTACAGCTTGCCAGTGAAATGCATCTGCTCCTTCAGATGACAGAGCAGAAAGGATACAGAGTGTGTGACATTGTCCTTGGGACAGCTGGAGTTATTACAGATAATGGGATGGCCCTGACCAAAATAACACCAGCTGGGTATTTATAGCACCCTCACACTTGTTATTTCATTTACAGTTTTGTTTGGTATGGAGAAGCAACTCCTTGAATATGTTGTGGGAGCAATGAGGTAGATATATATAAATGTCATCAAAGGCTTTCTTGCTGCAGCCAAGCACTAAATATCAAGAGATGCCCTTTACAAGAAGCCTGGCTGGTTTTTTAAAATAATAAATAGGTTCTGCAGAATAAATAAATTAAAACAAACAAACTAACTAACTAAAAAAATACAAAAAAAAACACCTCCCAAAGAAGCTATAAAAATTAATTCCATTCTAGTTACACTGTGTGAAAGCAGAGCACTGAGGTTAAAAGGCATCTCCTGTCCTCCAGAAGGGTTGTGTGAGGGGCCAGGTGACTTGACTGGCCAGTCTATGAGCAACAGAACCGCAGTGAGGAAAAATCCTACACCCTGTAATGAATACTGATCGTTGTTCATGCAGAGGGTGTATGATGATGACCTGGAATCACTTCCTGCCCAAGGAAAGAAAAGAATTGGCTCTACTGCTGGGCACCAACGCAGCAGGACAGGTGGGGAACAGCCCATCAGCTCTCTGCACACTCTGGATTCTCAGGCATAAGGAAAACCTACCTGTAAATAATGTACAGCAAGTACCACCTTGTTGTGGAAGGAGGCAGATGAAATGGTTTTGTCTGTCTGTCACCTTTAGCAGACCTGTGTGACCTGGAGGTCATGAGGTTTTTGGGTCGACAGCTGGAAGCTGCGGTGCAGCAACCACTGCATCAGCTCTGGGAGGAGGAATCCCTTGTTCCACCAGCAGCAGAGCTGCCAGCCTTACTGCTGCTCCAAGTGAACAGTCTGTTCCAAATTCCCCTGGGAGCCCAAAGGAAAGCTGCTGTTGCCGTGCTGGGTTCGCCAAGAGCGTCACGACTCGGCAAAGGGAAACGCTCACCCACCAGGACGGCCCAGTCCATGTTCCTGCCCCTCAGTCACTGCCACGGGCTCCCACCAAGCTCTGCAGCCCTCCCAGGCTGCTCCCAGCGCTGTTTTAGCAGCTCTGTTTGTGGATGGGAGAGGGCAGTTTGTTCCTTTCTTGCTGAAAAGCTGATGCACACACAGAGGAGCTGAAGCCACAGCTGCGAGCAGGCAGAGGCTCTCACTGTCTTTCACCTCTTGGCATCTGTTGTTCCCAAAAACAAAGAACTCTCTAAAAACCTGAGGCCACACCAGCCTGTTGTGGTGTCACACAACAAAACAAGCAGCGAAATCCCACCTCATCTGTATGGTTTGAGAACATGACCCAGATTCCAGTACCCATGGCTACACGGAGAGGAGCTTCTTTATTCCTCCTTACTGTACAATCAGTCTCAAAATCCTGGCAGTGCCCGGATTGTCACGCCAAGAAACACCCTCCAAGTGCCTTGGTGTGCTGCAGATTGCTTTCTGTTTGCAGTCTGTGTGTGGTGAGGTGAGGTGAAAGCATCAGGGGAACAGGAACAGAGCTCACAGTCCACAGGCTCGGCTTTGATCCGTGGCAGAAGTGCTGTTGAGAATGGATGAGTGGGCTCATTTCCCTCCCTGGGATCCTGGGGAAATACTACCATAGTAAGTAATTTCTAGTTGCAAGAGCTGCAGTGTGCAGAACTGCTTAGAACAACAGTTTTCTTTTGGAGTCTTTTTTTTTTTGCTCTGTCTCTTTCTTTTAAAATATATTTAATATATTTTTTTTCTACTCCCTTCCTTATGGAAGCTTGGATCTGATACCACCATCTCACCACCCCAGCACAGAGGTGCTCCAAATGCTGGCAGGTGAGGACAGTAGAGAATTTCTTTTGCAGTGAGTTAAAAATAGAATAAAGTAGAGTTGTTTGTGGTCACCTGAGCACTGTTCCTTTAGACCTGCAGCGAGCACAGCTCAGCTGCTCTCAGGAGGTCTCTCCACCTGTTCTACTGGTTTCTTTTACAGAAACACTGTTATATAGAAACGTTTACTTTCTTGTGCTTGCCACAAGTCAGATGGGATCTGTTTAGGTGCCATATTCAGCTGGTGAAGGTTTTCACTGCAGTGATCTTTCCTATTAGCAAGGAACTTCCTCTCCAAATGAATTTGCAATGTGTTACATTCACTTTCGTGCTCTTTCTACACAAAAGCAGCAAGTGCTTTGATGCCTGTCAGCTTTATATTTATTTACTGAAAAATGTTTGCTTTTTAAAAACCTCTAAGACAGGTTTCCTCACCGTCTGTTGTGCATGGCCAGTGCACTCCAGGCTCAGAGAAAAATCAGTGAGAGTTTGGGCAGCTTTGCCTGGAGGAAACCAGTCGGCCTTGGGCACTTTGACTGCTGTGCTGTCCTGCTGGCACCTCCTCTCAGTGCCTTGTCAATGAGAGAAGCACGAGAGAGAGAAGGCAGTAGAACTTAAGGCAGATATAATAAATACAGGAGGGACTTTAGGGGTAAAAATTTAGTACAATCACCATTACAAGGTCAGTGTGATAATTGGTTCCATAGCAGAAGTAGCTAAAACTCCTTTTCAAATCAACACAACAGCTGGGCTGGGTTGGGTTGGATCCAGACAAACAGCTAGGCTGGCACCAGTAACCCCAGGAGCCCAGGTTTAGTAGTAAGACATCACATGCCATGGTTATCCAGCCACGGGAAAAATGGGATTCACAAATGCAGAGGAAATCTTGTCACCATTCCCTGTTTAAAGTGCCAGAACGGTTCCATGGCAGATCTGTGTGATGGAAAGGTCCTGTCCTCTGTGTACACACAGCAGGGAAGAGCCAAAGCCAGGGAGAACGTTCTGGGATCACCAGCAAAGAGTGGAAGTTCCCAAATTACCCAGCAGCAGTTCTTGTGTCACTAAGATACAATTCTTACATTTTTACATTTTCCCTTCACATTCATATCCTTGAGAGTAAGACAAAAGCTGTCCTGCCAAGAGCCCTACAGACTGAAATTCAGTATTTGCTCCACTCTAGTCCTGTTAATGCCCCCTCCTGATGTTCCCCTTGTTGTGAATGAAGAGGGAGCTGGGCATATGCAGTGAACTGTGTGCTTTTACCAACCAGGATCAACCTGTATTCTCAAAAGTTCTTAAATCTAGGGGGGGTTTTGCTTTCACTGCAAAGAGCCCACCTCTAGGCATTCTCCAGTAATGCAGGGAGGAACAATATCTGCCAGTCTGCCTGGCCTCAGGACAGCCAGGGAGAAAAGGTGGAAGCAGGTCACAGACAAACAAGCATTCATTAAACCCAAACTGTTGTTCTGACCAGAAAAACAACTGTAGTTTTGGAACTACATTGGGAAAAGTAATGTTTAGAAGGCACCAAGGGAACTGCAGTATCCCTGCTAACCCTCTTTTGGAGTCAAGAGTTTGTGTTCAGATGGGAATTGCTTCCAGGCCTCCAGGTTTAGATGCATCCAGGGTTCAACACTACCTTTTTTAAACCCTCAAATCACCATCCTTGATCACACCTGACCTCCTGGAGGCCAAATAACTTCATTTTCAGGAGCTACTCAAGGGGGTTTATGTAATGGCTTTTGGACGGTGACAGCTTTTGCACCAATTTTTCCTAAATATTGAACAAATTCACAAACCAGAAATGAACCCTAAAACTTTTCCTCAGCCCCTCAATCTCCGCCCTGGAGCGACAGAAGGACTCATTGATATTCCGCTGATTTATCTCCCTCTCCTCTTCTTCGCAGGTCTCCACGAAATCCAGTGCTCCCTGCCCGTGGAGAACAGGAGAATCTTCCTGAACGAGTTATCTGAGGTCAGCTTCAGTGAATGCAAGTTCAGTTTGTCACTGACAGACCTTTTCATCATCATCTTCTCCGGGGTCGCCGTCTCCATCGCTGCTATCCTGTCCAGCTTCTTCCTGGCCACCCTGGTGCACTGTTTCCAGAGGTGTGCTCCCAGCAAGGATGATGATGATGATGAAGATGACAGTGAGGACTGAACTTAGTCTATATCCTTAAGTTTCCTCGGTCTATAAGTTATTAGATCATCAGCCAAAGTCTAGGAAGAGAAGGAGTAGAGTAAAAGCTTTCCATGCAACCCCAGTGTGTGAGGATCCCTTCTAAGCAGTGATGGTCACAGGTAGGAGTGGCAGATGTGGCACTGCCAGCTTTGCTTGCACATGGAACCTGATGCAATCAGATTGGGTTCGTTTTGATCCTTCATCAAACACTGAATTTAAATTTGAGGACTGGGAGAAAAAGGGAGGAAAAGCAAAAAAAAAAAAAAACCAACAACACCACAAACTTCCAGTGTTGAAGACTGGAAAAAAAAAAAAAAGGAGGGGAAAGGCAAAAAAGCAATCCAGTGTTTTAAAAGACGAGTTCCCAGTTTCCAGATTGTCCTGATGAGATGCAGTTTCTTATAAGTACTTAAGTCTTGTTCTAAATGCCCTTTCAAAAAGACTGGAAGGATGGAAGCGTTTCAGCTGGAAAATATGGAAGCAATTTAAAATAGCCCCTTCCTAGATCAAATAGAGGGAGATTCTATTAAACTCACACAGCTTTCTAAGTAACAAAATGCAATTAAGATGATTCCTGGAACTGTAGAAAGCAGGAGAGGAAGGTTGGCATTTTCTCCCTACAAAGGTTCTCCCCAGACATCCATCCCCCATTTAATGACAGCAGTTGCAGGCACCATTCAGCCAAAAAAAAATTTTTTTTCTATAAGTGAACATGATTCTGGGTCTGAGTCATCCACTGCAGATGCCTGGCACTTCTTTGGTCATGGCACAAATACTAAATATAACATCCTTTTGCATTTTTAGATGCAATGAAGTAAAGGATTTCCCTCCCCTGCAGTGCTCAGCACCAGTAACTGTTGCAGCATCCAGTCCATTTAGTTATTTTAAAACACTAAGGGCTATATTCTGCTCCTGATTATACCAGAATAACCCAACTGAAATGAACACCAGGATCCAAATTGGCAACTGTATAAACAAGAGTGAAATCTGGCCCAAGATGTTTCTGACTGTACTATAGATTTGTCAAAACTTGAGCTCTTCTATATGATGGTAGATATTTTTGTTAAAATTAAAAAAAAAAAGACATTTATTACAAGAGATTTTTGGAATAGTGCTGGACAGCTTTTTAGGATAAGTATATTTTTAAAATATTTGTAATGGAAATATTTTTTTAAAGCTCTGTGTATTTAAATTATTATCTAGAGTAGCTGTGAGGGCTTGAAGTAATGACCACCATAGTAATAAGCAGCTAAGGACTGTGTGCTATTATAAAATAATTACAGCTGATAAAAAGTAGCATTTGTCGAACTACTGTAAATGCTCTTATTCCTTAAAAGAAAACACTCTGTGATTAAAATACTGCCTTGCTCAGTAGGAGGGAATCACCCTGTGTGGTCAGAGCTGACACCAGGACTCAGCACTCCTGGGCGCTGTCCCTTCCAACAGGGATCAGCTGGAGGACCTTCAGCAAATCACTCTCTGCCCGTGCCTCATTTCAGCACCAGGAACACCAAGATCAAAACCATTTCTCTCCTCCAAGTGCTTGTGCCAGGAGGGGGTGGTGCCCTGGGGCTGCTTGGAGCAGTTCCCTGTGCCAGTCTGGCTTCCCTGGCACCTCTGCAGTTACTCCTCTGGCTGCCAGAGTTTGCCCCCGGGGCTTTGCACCACGCTGAGGTCACACAGCCAGGGGGGGGGAGTGTTTCTTTTAGCTCTCCAGCTTATTCAATGCACTCACTGCTTCCCAGTGTTAGGATTATTGTTTCTGAGAGCACACTCAAGCAGAATGAAGTAGGACAGTGAGAGGATATTCTGTATCAATACTGTCTTATTCGATTCTGATTCCTTCAAGAGAAAAAAAAAAAAATGAAATGACATGATTTTCACTGTGTAGTGCCATGATTACAAAAAAAAAAAAAACAACAAATATATTTATAATTTCAACGTGGGCCTTCATGTTTATTTGTATGTGGGTATGAAAAAGGGAGACAGGCCGTGCCTGATTCATCTTTTCTAAGTGGGGTTGTGTGGTGTGGCTGGAAAGACACAACACGTTGCCTTGCTGGAGTTCCTGGAGCAAACTCCCTTTGCCTCCAACATGGATACATCATCAACAGTTTTCTATTTAGAGCTCTGCAAATTGTTCAGTCAGGGAAAAAAAAAAAACTGGGTCACACTTATTAGGGGGCTCAAAATTTGCAGGAGGTTCCCAAAATGATTTGTCCCACCAAAGTTCCCGGTGAGTTATTTCAGCAAACATCTGCCCTGCCTTTGGTAAGGAGTCCATGGGTTTGTGTCATCATCCTGTGAGGCTGAGCAGCTTTGTAGGGGTCACATATCAAACTCAGCCGCTTTTACTGGATTCTGCTCCTACTTGCAGGTCCATCCTACTGTGGGGCCTCAAAATGAAGATGTAGATTCTTTTACGGTTTGTAGCTTTTTTTTTTTTGCTCAACCCAACCCAAAGCCCTGAAAGGCCTGGATTATATTTGGAATTTAGCACCCCTCAGAACAGCAAGGAGCAGACCAAGCTGACACCCACATATCACAGCACAAGCTGAAGAGCAAGGCTTGGGAAAGCTTTATTTGGGAAGCTGCTATTCTGGATACTCCATCACACCAAAGTGATTTTGCAATGTAGGGTTTTTTTTTTCTGGATAAGAAACTTTAGTGATATTTTCCCTCTATAATAATTATATTTCAAAAGTATTGAACTGCTTGCGTAATATTGATTCTTTGTAAGCACCAGCAGTTACCTACTATTAGTATTGATTTAATTCTAATTGCTTGTAAATGAAACAGAACTTGGATTTAGTTCTTAATGGAATTTTTCTACTTTGATGGAATCTCCAGAGCAAAACATTCTCCTGTTGGAATATTACCAGAACCAGTGTTTCACCATAAAGATCCCCTGCAAAAGTTTGACAGCAAACTTCATCATGGATAAAAAAAATGGCCTGAGGGTTTCATTATTCCTGTGGTTTTACCTCTACAAAGGCAGTGATGTAGAGGTGATTCCATCTCCAGGTTTTGGACATGGGAAGCGTTCCTGTGTGCAGATGCTGCCATGGGGGGGATGAGAGGAGCCTGCACTCCCTGCTCAGGCTGTGATGACCCACATCAGGATCAGTGAATTTCCCTCCAGTGAGGGCTGAATTCACCTTCCCCTCCCTCAAGCAGCACTGCCTGCAGGGGATTAGAAACGTGCTGTGGGAAGCTCTCAATTTACAATTTCCCTTCTAAACCAGCGTTGTTTTAGTGATGCAATCCCACCCCCCCCCGTCAGAGCTGAGCAGACATTTTACCTGTTTCAAGGGGAAGAAAGAAAGATCCTCTGACCCAAATAAAGCGTTGCAGGCTCCAGGAGCCAGGCAGCAGCTGTCACATTGCCTGCAGACACGTCTCCTTGATGAAATGCTGGAGCTTGGGATGTGTGAGGATCCAAAAACTCTACCAAAAAAAAAAAAAAAGCAAATCTGCATGATGTCATTGAGACAGCCTGACTTTTAGAAGTGTGCACATTGGTTTAAAAAAAAAAAAAACAAAAACAAAAACAAAAAAACAACCTAATGCACAGGATATTAAAATAAAGAACACCTGAAGCCACTGCCCAAGCCCAGCATTTCACTCTCAGTGTGAGCCCCACATCGTCCTGAGGCAGCTTCAGTCCTGCTGTGGTTCCTACTCAGAGCTGAACATTAAGGGGGTGGTTTTTAGAGCAGCATAAAGATGCACTGGGACACCCCAAAGGGATGGTTCTGGAAGGTCTCACAGAGGAACAAACTGCTTGCCTACCTCAGACCTAGAGCAGAGGGTGGCCCCCTGCACACTGACAGCTGACATTTAGCCTGGCAAACCCAGAGGAGACAAAAAACACCGGGATGCTTCACCGTGGAGGTAAGTCCTTGTGATTCCCGGTGGTGAAGGTGATGTTGGAATGCTGAATCCTTGGGTGCCCTTTCCAAGAAGAAAGCAGAAACATCCACTGGGAAATTGGAGGGTAAGATCTGCCATGGGCTCTGGGTGCCAGGGAGCCTGTAACACACAGGAGCCACCACAAACATGGATTATTTCATGTCCTGTGCCCCCTGGAGCAACACAGCCTTGTAGAAAACAGTCAGGGGAGGTCAACAAACGCATTTCGTCACAAAAATACTCGGTTTTCTAATCAGATCCCTATTGCCACTTTCCCCTTCGTGTCCTGGTTGTTGTGTCTTTACATCTTAACTGTGCCTAGAACAACAGGATGCCAGTTTGGTGTTTTCTCTGCGTGGTGCAGCAACACAAATCCCCACAGCAACACCCAAAGTAGTCAAACCACAGCTCTGCTTGTGCTGACCAACCATCCAGCAGCGATTGTGAAGAGGGGGGAGGTCTGAGGGTCAGCCAGTGCACACCCAGGTGTGTGGAACAACGTGTTTCAAGGAGAGATTGATGGGAAATGAATTCCTAAAGTTCACTGCTGCCAAAGCAGTGTTTGCCTGTTCAAAAGCTTTCATTTGAATGTGAAATGCCAGGTGTCACTTAGAAGGCTGCACAAAAAGCTCTTATCAGCTCAGAAATGAGAAAGTCAAAGAAGTCCACACAGACCACGCTGGCAAGACACACTTCAATCATGTCTGTATGTTCAGTATTTCACTATTTGATATTTCAGTATTGTTCCAGGCTGACATCACCGATATTATAGATTTTGACTATTTCTTTTTCTTCCCCTGGTCTCACTTCTCACCAGCAGATCTCACTCTTTATCCTTCTAAGATCTGGATTCAAATGGGAATTGGAGTCCTGGGAGGAAATGACCAGAATAAAACCCTCAAGGTCATTTTGGCCAGTTGGGCAAATGCACCAGAGACGCCCCTTTTCATCTGTATGAGCTGTGTACTTGAAGGTGGGAAAACTCTGAGCTCCAAAAGACTCCCTATAAACATGGAAATGGATGGTTTTAAAAATGCAAGGGCAACCAGAGGGATGAGAGACATGGATTATGAATATCATTAAAAAGGAACTGAGGCACAGTTGGATTGACCAGTATTTTCCTTGGAGAACATTATTTTTGGGTTGCTTTGTTGAGTACTTGCTTTAATTTTAACACAGTGATGATAAAACCTACAGCCTGGCAGGGAAGTTTGGAAGATTGGCCATAAATTAACAG